CATAAATAGAACACAACAGCTTTATTGATTTCGGTCAATAAAATAAAGTTTTACCAGTCGCGTATAACGGGGTTTTAGTGTCCTTAAATCCACGAAAAACTCCTTGCATAGCTAATGACAAAAGAACTGCTGGTGCCCCAAGTGATCTCAGCTTCAAGTACTGTTGTGCTGGGTCTGCCATTGACGAATGCTACACGAGCAAACAAAAAATGTTATGTGATATTCAACTCAGATACTAAAATTAGTATTTTTCTTCTATCTCCTTTTGATTTTGATTTTTCTGCTTACTGGTTTGACTCCCATGAAACTTAGTAAAGGTTTAGCTGCAAGAATCAGAAAAGCGGCTTGGATTATGCCAAGAATGCCCCCGATGATTAATGCAGATGATGCCGATGCAATCTGCTTCTTGCGTGGCTCGGCCTTAACTACCTCGAAGCTGCTATTTTCCAACTCTACATATGAATAATTAAATATATTAGCAATAAAGAGACTTAAAAGGAGGAATTCAGCATTATATATAGTTATATACTCTTTTGTGGTATCAATGTCTTAGTTTCGCTTTCTAGAGTCGAAATGTTTTCCAAGCTTTCGCAATCTTTGGAGTCATTATCTATTCTTGTGATTGTATCTTCCTCGGCCACAAAAGAAGTTGTCACGCTAACGAGAGGGAAAATCGCTATTCTCGAGACCTGATTGAATAAGGCAATGGAAACTCCCACAGCAGCTAGTTCGACTGGACCTGTCCAGAATGAATTAATGTCTGAATTAAACAATTTTACTCTTTTCTTGCACTCAAGTTGAATTTGACGATAACGGAGCCGAATATTGGTAAAAAATTGAAATTTGACTAAATTACTAAATTTAAGAAAAAAGTTACAGATTGTTGTTTAGGTGATGTTCATACCGATTTGGCCGATAAAAGCAGTATCTACCAAAGATGCAATAGGATCAGCTGTCAAAGCGAGTGCTGCAGGCAGAGCAATCCTTGCTATTTCCAGGCCGAGTTCGTCCAGATTAAACACTGACCTGCTCATAAGCATTTAACAAAAACTAACTATTACCACTCTCTGATTTTCACTCATTTGCTAAACCTTCACAACACTTTTCTACCCCCAAAAACTATATTAAACCAAGATCAGAACAATATTTACTATAATTTTTAAATTTTTTTTCTTCGTTTTATGCTATTATTAAATAA